ATTTTGGGTACTGTGACCTGATTATTTGGGAGCTTTCTGGACCTTCTTTATTTGTCACTACTATTCGACTGGAGGTATATTGTTCTCCCTTATTTTATCTTTCTATTTATCTTAGGGTTATTTTTCTATCATGGGTGCCCTAGTATTATTGTTGATATGACTACTACTGAGGGACTTGAGTCATCTACTGTTGACACCTCTACCATTGAGGCATTTGTTGGTACTTTCACTTTTATGTTTGACTAGTATACAGTACCTACTGGCACAGTTGCATTACCAGCATTACCGGACATGATCTCTTAGAAAGTTACGACACAGTTGTTGAATGGCCGTAACTTCGCTGAGTGGTTTCGCTCATTCCAGCTTTTCCTAGGACGTGTAGGGAAGCTTGGTTGGCTGGCGGAATCTCACTTAATGTCAGCTGATGCCGACCCTGGATATTCTACGTGGTTCTCTGAGAACTGCGTCATTCTTGGATGGTTATTTGGCTCGATGGAGTCATCTGCTTGTAGGATTCATCAGTTTCATAGTTCTATTCCGAAGGTAGCACATTATCAGAGATGTATTCCCAGTCAAGACGGGGAGTTCGTGTTTATGAGCTTTCTCAGGAGCTCTCATATGCTCAGTAGGAAGATTTGACCTTTCAGGATTATTATGGCTATTTGACCCAGCGGTGGCTTGAGTATGAGACTCTACGTCCTCTTGCTGCCATTCCGAGGATAGAACCCGAGGGAGCAGCATTCTTGCATACTCGAGAGCAGGAGGATAGGATTCATAAGTTTCTTATAAGGTTTCATGATGAGTTTGAGGGACCTCGTTCACAGATCTTGTCGATGATGAGGCTTCTGTCTCTTTATGAGGTGTATGCGATGACTGAGCAGTATGAACGCCGCGTCCATATTGCATCCCTTCTAGTTGCGGCCTTGACTCCTCCGGGCGACCAGATGGCCCTTGCAGCTACTGTTGGGTCTCGTTCAGGATCCTTAGCCAAAGGTGGACAACGCTTGGGCCAGCACCGTCAGGACGCTCCAGATCAACGCAGACAGGGGGATTCTCGTCTGTGTGATTATTGTGGCCGACCAGGACATCTCAAGGTTGGTTGTTGGAAGCTCCATCCAGAGCTTAAGCCGCCTCCTGGGGGTCATATTGCTGTTATTGCTGAGATACCACCACCTACTGCCGCTACTCCTACTGTTCCTCCCTTGGCAGAGTGATATGGATGTTATCACTTCCCGATTGGATAGACTTATGTCCGCTCTGACTTCTCAGAGTCCGACTACTATTGCAACCACCATTACAGGTATACCTCGCCTTTCATGCTTGTGCCAGTCCATCTCCCTTTTGGATGCTGGACTCGGGGGCAAATGGTCACATGACAAGTGAGACCCACCACTTCACCACTTTTGACGAGCAGTTACATACACAGGTTCAGTTAGCAGATGAGACATATGCCCCTATTGTTAGTAGGGGTACAGTCTGCCTCCCAAATCACTTTACATTACGTTCGATTTTTCATGTGCTAAAATTGGCCATGAATCTATTATCCGTACATCAGCTAGCTAGAGATTTTCACTGTGCGGTTGTGTTCTTATCTGATTCGTGTTATTTGCAGGACCTGAGTACCAGAAAGATTATTATCAGGGGACATAAGAGAGATGTATTGTATTATCTAGGCGATCCGCCTCCAGTTTCACCAGTTCCTCCACCTACATCACCTGCACCTACTTTGTCTTTATCTGTTCCTAACTTGCATGCTAGTATTTTACCTAGTAATTGTCATTATGATTTTTCGTCACAAACTGTTCAGTTGTGGCATGACCGTTTTTAACATACAAATTTTAAATATTTATGTATGTTGTTTCCTACTTTGAGCAATGCTTGTGTTGGTGGTAAACTTGACTGTGTTATATGTTCCTTATCAAAACATATTAGGACCAGTTATATTCCTCGCATGCACCAATCACCCAAGTCATTTGACCTAATACACTATGATATTTTGGGACCCTCTCCTGTTACTACTCAGTCAGGTGCCCGATAATATGTGACATTTATAGATGATCATACTCGTTATACTTGGGCCTACTTTTTGTATAAGAAGTCTGATGTACTCCCTATAATCACTCAGTTTCTACAGATGATTAAGACACAATTCAATATTATTGTTCGTGCTCTTCGTTCGGATAATGTTAGGGAATATGTGTCTAATGTCTTAGTGTCTCACTTTTCTTCTTAGGATATTCTTCAGTAACTCACTTGTCCATATACTCCTGAGCAAAATGGTGTTGCTGAAAGAAAAAATAGGAGTCTGATAGGGATGGTACGTTGTATGCTTAGAGGCATGGGGGTGCCAAAATCTTATTGGCATTTTGCTATTTGACTTCTACCTTTTTGTGCAATCATACACCGAGTTGTGTTCTTCAGCATAGAGCTCCCTTACAAGTTTTATTTCTTGAGCGAACACTTTTTCCAGTCCCTTCTCGTGTTTTTGGATGCACATTTTTTGTTCAGGATCGGTCTCTTACTCGTCATAAGCTTGATGATAAAACAATTCGTTGTGTCTTTGTAGGCTATTGCAATCAGTTTAAAGGGTATCGGTGTTATGATCCTGTTGGGCGTCATATGTATCACAGTTTAGATATTACATTTCTTGAGCATATTCCTTATTTTTCTTCCAGTCCTGTGTCTACCCCTCTAGTTGATGATACTTCATTTGATTTTCCATTACCCCCGGAGTCAGAGACATTGGTCACTATCACTACAGAGTCATCGGTCTCTCCTCCTCTAGAGCCACTCATCCCTGGTATCAGAGCACTGGCACTTGACACATATGAGATTATCTGGCTACGATCGATTTTTGGCAAGTTGGGATTTTCAGTGACTTCTTCATCTACATTATATTGTGATAATCAATCTGCTATTCAGCTTGCTTCTGACTCTGTATTACACAAGAGAACGAAGCATATAGAGATCGATGTTCACTTTCTTCGGAAGAAGGTTAGTAGTGGTATTGTCACTCCATCGTTTGTGAGGACCAGTGATCAGGTTGCAAATATTTTTACCAAATTTGTCACTCTATCTATTTTTTGGAACTCTGTTGTCAAGTTTGGCTTAGTTGACATTTGTGTGCCTAGCTTGAGGGGGAGTGTTGGAGATATAACAGTCTAGTTTATTAGGACTTATTAAGTTTTCTCTTTTTACCTTTTTATCCTTATTGTAACTTTCATTGGCTATATATACGGAGCTTTATACTTAGTTTGTATCCCTTTTTCACACACATTCATTCCAAGTAATTCAAAGTGAGCTGAGGAATATAATAAATATTTGAAAGTGTGAGATGAGGAGAAATAATTGTCCCAATACCAGCCAAAGACATGTAAGTGTCGTTAGCTGTAAGCATAGATTAGATGTAATTAAGGAAAAATCACTGATCATGTGATGTATGGCACCTAAGTCAAAGACCCAAGCGGTGCGAGATATACCTAAAAGACCTAAGATAAACGAATCTACTGAAGGAGATACCAAAAGAGCACCAGGCTGGTAGAGAGAGTAACTTCTAAACTTGATCAGCAATCATAGATAGTCTAGTTACAATGGTTGCTTACTGATCTTGGCATTTCCTATCTCCTCCTACCCTTATGTAGATAACACCAAAGTCATTCAGATTTTTCACAACTCAGTGTTCCATGAGTATACAAAGCATATAGAGAGTGATTACCACTTTATGCGTCAGCATCTACAACTGGGCACTATCTCCCTCATCTTTCTTTCTTCTACTATACAGTTAGCAAATTTCTTCATGAAGTTGCATACTATTACCCACTTTCATTTTCTTCTTGGCAAACTTTTGATATTTTCTGTTACCACATCATGAATTTGAAGGAGAGTGTTAGAATAGTTAACATATTTAGTCATTTGTTTTTTTTTATGTTGTCCTACTGTATAAGGGCTTCTAGTATATATTTTTCCAGTAAGTTGTAATACATACCAATTATTCTCTTAATATTATTTCGTCCTCTTTTCTCCTTTCTTTCTTTGATCTGAATTAACAATTAACACATCCAACAATGCAAAAATGTGCATGATCATTATTTTGAGCTTTTTAAAATGTAGATTGTATTACCAACTGATGCCAAATAACTAGATGAAATCCCATTTGCACCACCAAATCCATTCTTGTAGAATAAAATAAGATTCCCCCATTTTGTGCACTTTTCTCAGTGTCTCTCTATACTTAACCCTCTACCAATGTTGTTTCTTTCTTTTTCAGCCCCAACCATTGCAACCAAAAAAATGTTGCACGTTCAGACTTGCGGGCAATGGAAAATAAGAAACCAAGTGCCCTGACACTTTTGGTACTCTACCACAAAATATAATTTTTGAGTCAGTTTTGGAGGTAGTTGGAATACACTTTAAGCTCGATCCTACAATGTTCATTTCGATATGAAATAAATCAAAAGTTACTTAACCCCAAGGATCGATAGTAAAATGTTAAGATCAATCATAACCCCTTTTTCATGGTAGCTTAACACCAGAAGTTGCAAGACCCTATTTTCAGTACAATACCTCCTCAGTACTGCAATAGTCTTCTTACCCAACTGACAAATATCAAGACTTAGTTCTCTTAAACATCTGTTAATTTTTTCCTTGGTAAATTTCCCTTAAACATCTCAAATAACAAGAAGAGTGATAGAAATTGATAATAAGGATGGAAATTTGGAAGCACAAATAACTGCTGCCACACTTGTTGCATATGACACGTAAATATATGTTCAAATAGGATCCAGGATCCTTAATGCCAAATTGTCAAATTCCTAATCTGAAAGTAACAAAATTCAGGGTCTTTGTCTTCCATTCCTATAATTTATAATGTATTATCATTTATCAATAGCATACAGCTGCAAACCAGTTAGGAATTTTAAGCTAATGATATCTTTACACTATGATATACAGCAGAGATATTAAGTCAGCAGGTGAAGAACATACTTCCATCTGTTGTTATCCTATAAGCAACATGCTTTCAGGATATCCTCTATATCTGGATCATCCCCTGCCTCTTGGTCCTGTGTTAATCAACAAAATGCATCAAAGGGCAGCAGATTTATGGAAGAGAATCGGGTAAAATGTCACCAGTATCACCAAATTGAGTCTAAATAGATTAGAAAAAAACTTTTTGAATTCCAACTAACCATATTCGAGGAGAAACTAGGAAACAAAGCTCAGATTCTCAAGGGAAAGGGGAAAAAAAAAATAGATCATCTCATGATCAGATACCGTACATGTTACAAGCAACTTCAGCTTATCTAATGTATGCACATGAATATCCTTGCAGTATACTATTTTAAATTCAAAAAATGTGTGCTTTGTGTCCATTATTCTATTGAAATTGGAACTCCAAAGTGACCAAAGCTGTATGTTTCAATCAAAAGATGCAATGGCAGGTATAAAGAGCAGGGGACTAACTCTGTGGATATATGAGATGTTACTTTTTCCCGGACCTGCCACGATGATTCCACCTTGTTGCCTGAGAAATTAACCAGCAGAGTTAACTTATCTTGTGTGCTGTTAAGATGCTATATAAAAAGTAATAATAGCAAGTAAAACAGAAGACGACGGATCCTGTACCATTGGACCACTTAGTTCAGCAGCATCAATGCAAATATCCATTACTTTATATCATTATTAATTTCTCTTTACCCACAGATGACCAGTGAAGATAATAATATAATAATTCATTTGTAAGATGGTCTACATACCAGCCGCCTCTCGTCCGGGTGTCCTTCTCAAAGGAGAGCCCCCAGTCCTGTCTGTAACCTTCCATGTATGCTTGTATAATCTTCAAACCAGCCTAGAATGCCAAGAAAATGAAGATTGAAATCTGTGGTGCGATTACAATACCTTATACATTCCAGAATTGTTACATTCTCATAAGCTAGGAATATTTCATAATATATTAGAAACATATACATAACTAATTGTTACATACCCCAGGAGTAAATGTAGTTGAAACACCATAAACAAATCTAAGTGCTGCATACGATGAGTAGCCAGGATCTGCGTACACTTCTGAACAAAACATGAAGTTCTGTTATCATGCTGAACTGACTGTAAGACTCTGTATAGTTGAAAACACTACGAAAGATGCAGTGGAACAATTGCAAAATAGTCATCAGAAGTTACAAGGCATCCTGTAACTAAATTCTCTAGGATTGATGCTATCTTCATCAGGACTTATGACTCCTTTTCGTGAGTGCGTGTCTGCATTGTTTTTTTTATTCTTTGGGTGCCCCAGGGGGTGGTGGAGTATCCTCCCTTGGTGTAGTTTATTGATGCATCTTTGTTAAGATCATTCAGAAACATACCTCCTTGAAACTTTGTTTGTTCAGAGAACATTTTTGCCTACACAAGAGGAACTGCCAACGGTTATAACAAAATACGATCTACTCATGTAATTCAAAATTTTTAAGAAGTCGTGAAAATGTATAGTTTTGAATTGCAGGAATGAACACAAAACTTGCATAACTGGTGATGTAGATCGTAGTAGGAAAGAATTAGGAATGAGAAGGGAAGAAGAAGGGAAAGAGAAAAGAAGAAGGAGATGAGGAAAGAGAGAGAATTTGAGAAAGAAACAATATCAGGATTCAATATCAGTAATCAATAATAATCAAAGTCAGTAAAAACAAATACCATATCTCTTATATATATAAGGAGAGCACAAACCCTAAAAGAAATAAATAGTCAAAATGACAATTAAGCCCCTAAAAAACAAAATGACAAATAACTCATAATCCCTACGTCTACGTCTACTATAACGAAATATAATCCTATCATTTTCTCCCGACTGACAAGTGCTCGCCTTCGAAAAGATACGATCATGATAATGCTCTAGAAGATCAGGGTCAAGCCAACGAAACTCCTTCTCAGTAATCCATGAAGGATCAGTCTCTGGACGATCTCTCCACCAAATAAGATAACGAAGATATCCTCCATCCGAGGAGCCCACAATCTGATCGTCAAGTACATTTGCAATCTGGTCAAGCAGTTGTGGTAGAAACGATGGAAGAATTGGAATTGTAGGTAATGCTGATGACGAAGCAACTCCACCTAGAGGAACACCTACCGGCAACATAGGAGGCTCAAAAGTACCATGATAAGGAAACAAGTCCTCTACATTGAAAATAGGACTAATATTCATATTCGAAAGTAAGTCAAGGTGATATGCACTAGGTCCAAACTTACGAAGAATACGAAAAGGCCAGTGGCTCGAACATGTAATTTTTTGAAAGAATTTTTAGGGTAACGTTCAAGACGCACACGAACATGACATAATTTCCCACAGTAAATTCTTTATTTCTACGGTAAACATCTACAACCAATTTATAATTCTCATTACTTAATGTAATTTTCTGTCTTATGTCCACATGCAAGTCATGAATATGCTGGGCAAAAATTTCGACTGAGTGTAAAGGGCGGGACTCGGGAGGTAAAGGTAATAAGTCAATAAGCTGTTTAGGAGAATGACCATAAACAATCTCAAAAGGGGATCTACCAGTCGATATGTTGACGGAGTTATTATAGGCAAATTTAACAGTAGGCAACAACAAATCTCAATTTTCCATCTTCTTGTCCACTAGGCACCTAAGCAAATCTCTCAAACTACGATTGACTACCTCAGTTTGACCATCAGTTTGGGAATGAAAGGCAGAGGAAAACTTAAAAATAGTCCCAAATAGTTTTCAAAGTGTCTTCCAAAAATAACCCACAAACTTGACATCCCTATCAAATACAATGGAAATAGGCAATCCATGTAATCGGATGACCTCTCGAAAAAATAACTTTGCTACATGTGAGACATCAGCGGACTTAGATCAAGGAATGAAATGGGTCATCTTAGAAAATCGATCCACGACAACTAATCATGATTACGGGTTATTTTAGGCAATCTAACACAAAGTCCATACTAAGGTCTCTCCATGGTATATGTGAAACTGGTAATGGTGTGTACAACCTAGTGTTTTGTTTCATATCTTTTACTAACTAACAAGTGCGACACTGTGACACTATCCTAATAATGTCACACCTCAAAGTGGGGCAATAAAACCTATCCTCAACAAATGCAAATGTCTTATCCCTATCAAAGTGGTCTGCCAGACCTCCCGCATGTAATTTCCAAATCAGGAAATTCCTAAGTGAAATATGGGGAATACATGAGCGCGACCCTCTAAATAAATACCCATCTCTGCAGAGGAAGTCAATGTGCTCATGATGGTTACCAGCCTGAACATCCTAAAAAATAATACCAAAGTCAGGACAAGAAGCATACTCATCTCTAATCCTGTCAAAGTCAATCACATGGACACTCATAGTTTGTAAAACAACAACTACCTGGCTAAGAGCATCCGCAGGCTTGTTTTCAATGTCGGCTCGGTGGTGAAGAACAAAAGTATACTCCTGAAGAAACTCAACTCACCTAACATGCCTAACACTCAATTTTCTTTGGGAATAAAGGTATTTCAATGCTTGATAATCAAAATATAACACAAACTCAAATGGCAATAGATAATACCTCTAATGGCGGAAAGCTTGTACCACAGCATAAAACTCTGTCATATGTAAAATATCGTTATTTAGCTTCATTGAGCTTTTCGTTGACGTAAGCAATAGGATGACCCTCTTGACTCAAAACTTCACCAATCCCTACACCAGATGCATCACATGCAACCTCAAATACCTTAGAAAAATCTGGGTGTCGAAGGATAGGTGTCTCTGTCATCTTGTGCTTAACTTCTTGAAAGGCTCTAATTGCAGCAAGAGTCTATTAAAACTCCCTTTTTTTCATGCACTCTGTGATGGGAGCCATAATGGAAGTAAACCCCTTAAAAAATTGTCTATAGAGGTGGCCAAACCATGAAAACTTTGAATCTCAGAAATTGTTTTTGGCACTGGCCAATTCCTAATAACACGAATTTTCTTTGGATCAGCTGCAATATCATGCGCAAAAATAACAAATCCAAAAAAAAAAGACTTGAGTTTGCATAAAAAAGCACTTCTTAAGATTTGCATAGAATTTTTTCAAACGTAATTTCTGAAAAACCTGTCGAAGATGATCCACGTGCTTTTCTTTAGATCAACTGTAGATTAAGATGTCATCAAAATAGACCACCACAAATTTTTCTAAGAAAGGACGCAATATCTGAGTCATAACCCTCATAAATGTGCTAGGTACATTAGACAATTCAAAAGGCATGACCAACCACTCATAAAGTCCATCCTGGGTTTTAAAGGCGGTTTTTCATTAATCTCCTAATCTAATTCGGATTTGATGATAACCACTGCACAAATCTATTTTGGAAAACTAAAGTGCACGGGCCAAAAAGCCAAGCATATCTTCAAGTCTCGGTATAGAAAATCGATACTTGACTGTAATTTTGTTAATAGCACGGCTATCAACACACATTCTTCAAGAGCTATCTTTCTTAGGGGTCAACAAAGCAGGGACAGCACAATGACCAAGACTATGACAAATAGACCCTTTTTGCAAAAGTCCATCTACTTGTCTTTGGAGATTAGCACGTTCAGTGGGATTCATACGATAATGGAGAAGATTAGGCAACTGAGATCCTGGAACTAAGTCAATAGCATGCTAAACATCTCTCATTAGTGGCAACTCAACGGGTAGTTCCTCAGGGATCACATCGTGGAGCTCTCTCAATAGACTATCAACCTCAGGCAAAAGATCGTCTTTAGATTCTAAAGGACTCTGAAAAACTTCTTTGACAACTAGAATTACCACTACACCAAACTCTTCTCTCTTTTTCAAATTCCCTATAGGTTAAGATGTGAAGATCTTTCTTGTGACTTATTTAGGAAGATGACCTATGCTTTGAATTATTACCTTCTGAGGGTTTTGCAGGTTTTAACTTAATGATTTTCCCTTTATGCTTAAAAACATAGGTATTTTTCCTCCCATAGTTTGTCACATCTAGATCAAAAAGTCACGGACGACTTAATAAGACATGAGTGACATCCATGGGTAAGACATCACACCATATATAATCTAAATAATCACCCATCTGAATAGAGACCAAACATCTCTGTGATACTGGTAAGGAGGTTTTGCCAACCCATGCAACCTTGTAAGGCTGTGGGTGTGTCTCTAGCTTAAGCTGCAACTGAGCTACAACCGATTTAGAAATGACATTCAATAAACTTCCCCCATCAATGACGACTTTGCAAACTTGACCCCCACATCGGACCAGAGTATGAAAAATGCTAGTGTGTTTCTATGCTTCTGTGCCTGAAGGGATGGATAAGATGCATCGCATCACACTGACACAAGTGTCATCGTTCTGCCATTCTTCCTCACCTTCATCTAGTAACTCTAGGGGTTCCTCATCTAAAAGATCAACTTCTTGGTCAACATCTTCTCCATCAAGTGAATTTCCTAACCCCAGTTAATGGTCAAGGTACGCTAAGGATACTGTGAAGTAATATGACCCTTATCATGACAACGGTGGCAGCCTATGGAAGAATTGTCCTGGCGAGAACCCGTGAGTGTAGAATCTCGACCCCTAGTGATATTACCTCTCAAGTTGGGGTAAGTGTTACCCCTAGATGTGACAGGTCCGGGTGACGCCTCGAGACTTATCAAATGGGACTAACCTTAGTGGTTGAGATTCTCCGATTTGAGAAGGCATGCGACACTGAAAGGGTGGCCTAAGGCAGTGTTATGAAAAGCGCGCCTAGGCGAGAAGCGAGGCGAGGCGAGACTAGCTCGCCTGGAGGACCCCAGGCGAAGCGAACTTGAGCGAAGCGAACGTGAGCGAAGCGAGAAAAAAGTGAGAAAAAGCAAAAAAAGCGAAGTAAAAAAAGCGAAAAAGCCTTCGCTTTTGTTATAAGAGACAAAATATTTTATTTTTAATTTAGACAGCTGGATTGGGCGATTGCAAAAAAAATTATAAGATGTTGATGTACCGAATTATTCCCTTTCCTATAAATACAACCCCTAACCTTATTTTTTCTCAGATAGGCTTCAATTGGTGTTGTTGCTCCACTGCTACATGATCGGACAAGGCTTCGATTTTTTCTTGATTGGTGCTGCTCCATTGCTACGCGATCGAACAAGGCTTCAATTTTTCACAATCTGGTGCTACTCCACTGCTACAAGATCGCTGGACAAGGCTTCGATTTTTTCACTGCTTTTACACCATCGCTACTGCTGGACAGAGATATCGCTAGTTTAGAGGGCTGGTCTGGACTGTGGAGGTTAGTCTCTTCTTCTTCTTCTCTCTTCTATTTTTTTTTCTTCTCTCTTCTGCTCCTTCACCGATTCTGCTTATGCTCCTTTTTTTTTTTGTTTTTTCTGCTTTGATTCTGCCCTATTCTGCTCTGTT